TAGTACTGTGCTACTTTTGCAATAGTTGTTCATACCATGGATTGGCAATGGAGACTTTTCTGTACAGGTGGTAATCTTGTACATTAGACTTCTTGGTTCCAGTTAAAGATGACCCTACTGCTCGGACGCTGTTGTCAGCACGTGCTGTTTCAATATGCTGAGGGGATTTGCTTTGGCTCATACAGCGTAAGCCAACACGTGCACCTTTTAATTTGACTGACCAGTTGTGATAATGAGAAGTGGTATTGCGTGAAGGATGTGGCAGTCGCCCGCCTGGTGGTAGCCGTACCTATGGGAAAAAAGAGAGGGCTGATCGTGTCTGGCCAGCCAGATGTCCTTCCCTGGGACTTACCCCCAGCCCACTTCTGCATCTCGGAGCTTTCCAAGGCAACTCGTGAAGTTTGGGTGATTATCAGCTGCCTCGTGGCTCAGGATTTTCTACCATGTGAAAAATGAGCTGCTGCTCACCCTTTGGTGACCGAAGGTTCAGGGTGTGTTAGGGGAGGAAATCTGGAAGTGCTGTTTAGGAGGAGCATGAGCAGAATGCGTTGGGTTTTGTGGTTGTCAGCTTCACAAGTCTTTATCTCTTGGGTTTGCTAATCTCGTGTTGCTTCCTTCATAGTGCAGGGGTCTGGAGGTGCCTTGCCATGCCACCAGGGAGGTCGGGGTGCACTTACCTCAGGGGCAGGAAGGTGATAGACCCTTGCAAAAAAAGATCTGCCAGCCTGCCTGGATATCACAACTTCAATTCTTTTGAGTAAAGCGTCTTTCAGAAAAAGGCAGTTTCATAAAAACACACTGGTAGAGCTGGAGAAGATGGTAGCAATGAAAGCCACACTGGAACAGCTAACAGACTTGGGAGTCTCACCAACCTGCCAGTAGGGTGTTGTGCAATTTATTCCCTCCAGTGAAAATTTAAATTTTACAGAAATTAGTTGCCTACGGGTTGCCTTTCATGTCCCAGGAAGTTTCCTCCTTGCTTTAGTTTGTTTTTTTTCCCCGTACTTGATGAAGAACACCAATGAAGGAGGTACGTAACTGCTGGGAACTGAAGGGAGTGCCGTGTGGGCTTGGATTTGCAGGCAGGATCCATGAGATCTTTGTCCCACCGTGGATTCTGAAGGTGGTGCAACGCTTCCCCAGAGCATGCCAGCCAGAGTGTCATCTTTTTGCAAAGAGCTGCTTGTTTGCCAAAAATTGGGGTCTTTTTGTCTTTGATTTAAAATTTAAATACACATCAGTGGGGAGCTGTGTGAAGGAGACTGGGGATCCCAGGCTGGAATAAGAAGGGTGCCCTTAGGGGCTTGTGTGAGGGCAGGAGGACTGAAGAGGACCTCACCTCTCTTCTCACTTACGTTGAAGCTCCAAGATGTGATGGTGCTGATGTTCAGGCTGCAGAGTGCTGGTCTTGGTTGGAGGAGTGGTTTGGGGATGGGCTGCAGCCAAGACAACATGCAAAATAACCTCTGAACAGGTAGAAGGAAGCCCTGAGGAGATGCTGGTTTTCTGCAACAGTTTTGGCCCTTGTCAGCATTACCAGAATTGACAGGGATCAGTGGAGGGCTCTATGCAGAGAAAAGGCAGCTGGTCAGGTTGACTGACTTGGGTCTCTGTGTTCTCTATTATAATTGTTCCCTATGTGATTATTTTGAGGGTTGAGCAGCTGAGAGCTGCAGAAGAGATGTGCAGCTTTATTTCTGCCATGTGTGAAATGTTCTGTGTTCATTTCAAAACCGTTCATTGCTCTTTCCATCAGGAAAAAAAATCCGGAAGTCTGCAGGAATTTTTGTGAAGTCCAACTTTAAATGCTCACCTTCCCTTTTATCGCCCTTATCAGCGCATAGAGCTCAGTATGTGAGGTTTTTAGCTGACATTTCAAATCGCTGAGTTTGCCTGCATCCCTTTTAAAGCAGCCTCCCCTCCCAGATCAGAAGTGTCCAGGGTTTTTTTGTTAGACTCCATGTTCCTTTAATGTTTTCCTCCTAATAGATGTTGAAAGCGTTCTTCAGAGGCACGGCACAAAACATTCAAATAGTGATACGAGCCAGCTGAAAAGAGTTGTCAGGGAGAGGGAACATTAGGAGAAGGATTGAATACAGATGGATTCCTCAAAAGTAATGTAACCTGTTATGATTGCTTTGAAATCCTATACCCTTTCCATCTACTTCTGCTTACTGAAAGTTTACATTTGCATTGATGTATTAGAGGCAGAGCTAAAATGGAAGTAATCCCTGTTGTATACACGCTTAAGTGTGTAATTTTAGCTAAATACAACAGTTGTGACCAAACTCTCACCTGCATACTCAGTGGGAAGCCCACAGCCGTGGAGTGCTGCAGGAGAGCCCGTCCATCCCAACTCCTCCAGAGGGGCCAGGGACCACCCAGCACCCATCTGCTCGCTCTTGGTTCCTTCAGCCATCTCAGATCCATACCCGACAAACTCTTCAGATGCTTTCTGCTGCTCTGTCTTCGTATCAGCAGATACAAAGGAGAAATCAGTTGATCTGTGCATTTTATTCTATATATTGTAGTGCTTTCTTAATACACTGCTAGAACAGTCAATGCCACTTCCAGAGCATCCTGGCAGAAGCTCCACTAGAAGCTGGTGCTATATTTTAATTGGGTTATCCAAAAAGCATCCTTCTCTTTGCCCGCAGGGAAGGTCTGAGGTATCCATCATTCCTGCCTCAATTTAAGAGGTTGTATCAGTCTCCACCACACAACTGTTGTATTGGATTTGACGGGAGGGTTGCATTGCACAGAGCTCCTTTAATGTTCAGAACTGATCATTATGCAAGGGGAGAACTGGTGAAGAGGAGAGTGGTATGGTTTTCACTTATTATACCTTGCTTTTTTAGGGTGAACTTGTTCAAATTATTTCCAGCCTTAAATATTTGCCCTAGAAAGCTGCTCAGAAATCTGATGGAATATAGAAATAAAGTTGCTTCAGTGCACATTTACAGTGACAGTCAGAAATTTGTGTGCTAGAAGATGTCCGTAGTGACTCGCCATCTCAAGGTTCCCATAAGCACTCATACCCAACTGTCTCTGTACTGCATTTGAGCTTGAGGAAACCTCACAAGGCTCCCTTTGCCTCAGAGAGTTGTGAAAAACCTCAGCTGGCTTAGTTTTGGATGCTCTTTGCACCACTCTGCAGCTCTACTGAGCTTCCTCATCCGAGGAGAAATGGCTTGGAGTTTTTGTTGGCTTGTGGCAAGCAAAATATTAGTTTCCTCTTTGTGAGAATAGGAGGATTATTTGTTTCTAACTGGCTCTATAATGGAGGTAAAACATGATTTTTCTTACAGACCAGTGACCATCCATGACCCCATGTATTACAAGGAAAATTGTGTGTCTAGGAGCAGAAGGGCATGTTGAATAGGAGCTGTATGAGCAGTGACAGGGCTATAGCTCTGTCAAATTCAGGTTTTAAAGTACTTTGGTAATGCTTCCATCCTTGTACTTTGAGCACCATATTATACATAAATATTTCTGAAGACCTCTAGATTAATGGATCATCTGCCAGTCTCAGTTCATGCAGTGGTTATTCTGTGTTTGTATTCTGTGCAAATATGCAGAAACTGCCAACTTTTCCCTTTGCCGCTGTCTTCCTCGCCTCCAATCCTTCCATCTGTGCATTTCTTACGGGTTTCCTTGTCTTATCTAAATGTAAACTCATCAGAGCAGGAGCTGTTTTCTGTTGTCTGTAGGACTTTGACCACTGCAGTGCAGCCAAAAAAGCTTTTCACAGCAGAACGGGGAAGCACAGATTGCGTTGTAGGTCCTCCTTGGAGGTGTTTTCCCAAGGTCCATTACAAACCACATCACCTAGGTGCCAGTTACGGCATTACTAAGTAAAAGGTCATGCTGTTGAGCTTCGTGATTGAAATTAAAACAGGACTCCGGTGTTCAGAGCTAGTAACAGAGCTTGGAAGACCCAGGAATTTATCAACTTCAAGGTATCGTACAAATGCAGAGGGGTAGCCGGGGAGAGCAGGGGATTGACTGATGCTGTGTTGGTGTGAGCATTTCAGCTTGTCCCTCCTGGCAAACTGCAACACGACTTGCAGTGACAACGGGACGGCGTCCTGGCCTGGCCGTCCCATGGTGTCACGGAGCCAGAGGCACGTTGGCAGCAGCAGCTGCTCTGTGCCAATGGCAGAGCCAGCGTGAAAGAGCTCTTCTCTGTTTCCTTCTCAGGCTGCCTCACCGTTGGTGCGAATCTCCTCCTGAGCAAGGAACTCGCTTCCCAAGCCAGCTCATGCATGCAGTCTCTCTTCCTACATTTTGGTTAAGAGAAGGAGGTTGACCTGCTTGCAAGTGTACTTGAATAACCTGTCTGCAGGACAAGGCATGGGATTGTGTACAGTCCGTGGCCAGACTGTCCATTGGAAAAGCCGGTGTGATTAGATGGTCCTTCCTGGTGGAATTTGCAATTTTTTTGATGTATTTGTTCTTGATCAATTTGTTTGATGTACCCAAGTGTGACATTTGAGGTCAGCTTTAGGTACTGCGTTGTAAGCAACAGCCATTTCTTGCTTCGCTTTCCTCCCTTGGAAAATAAGAAGCAAGCATAGAGTGGGTGAGCCATGCTACACATCCCTCACAGTTGGAATAGTGGGAGGAAGCCTGATTTGACTAAGGAAAATGCTGTCTCGTTGTCTCGGTATTGGTTTTAGAGGCCTTGCTTATAGAATGGCAATGCAAAGCAGTTAGCCAACGGACACAATAAATCCTGATGGGAACTGGACTTCTTCCATATGGTCTTGTTCCCTCCTTCTCTTCACCTCTAACAGTATCATCTTCATTACTCTATTAATTCCCTTTTGCTTCCAGTTGTGTCAGTTTGTTCATGGTCCTATCAGTGCAATTTAATATGAACACCACTTATTCTGTAGGCTGTCACTGATGCTGGAGCTCCAGGCAGAGTACTGCTGCCCAGTGATGCAGAGTATGGTCAAGGTTGTGTCCTTCTAATGTGACTCTCGTTTTTCTTGCAGGCATGGGCCGTGGAGAGAGCCTGTTAACCCATACTATGTCAACACGGGCTATGCTTTGGCACCGGCGACCAGTGCCAACGACAGCGAGCAGCAGAGCATGTCCAGCGATGCCGATACGATGTCGCTGACAGACAGCAGCGTGTAAGTAACTTCAGTCTGCTGGGACAGGGAGTGGGACAATAGCGTGTTTGTTTCTTTAGCGGTGGTGCTGCTGTTGTGTTGGTCTGAGGGAGGCTTTGCCACAGCTGATGTTGGAGGAATATCTGACTAGACCAAGTTCTCCCTTTCGTTTCAAGCGGGGTTGTTTTCTCACTGTGCAGGGTACTCAGCCTTGCCGGTCTTGGGAACATTTGCAGCATCAAATGGTTTTGAGTGAACTAAAATAAACAGTGCTCAGTTGGAGTTCCTGCAGTGTTTCTTGCCAGGTGCAAGAAATACTGGAAATGTTGGATGGCTTTGTAGTGAGTGATTGGAGATGTAGTATCTTTTGAATGTCAGACAGAACTTTCTACTTACCTGGGTACCTCTCCTCTTGAGGTTTTTTTGCTGCCAAACTGTGCTCACTGTGTGATTGCTCTTCAGTGGGATTGGTGACTGACCAGTTCTAGTTTATGTTTGGTGACCACTGCACTTCATCACAACTTGTACTGGTAAGCCCCTGCCGAATCTTTTTGTGTTTCTCTAGATTCTACCTCCTGACAGCGCCCTGTGTCTCATCTGTGAAATGCCTTCCCTAAAGATGGTCTGCAAAGGGGGAAAAAAAGAGTTATGTGATTTTGTTGTGACTGCATCTCTGTGATGGGAAAAAAGGGATTTGTAGGAAAATATTCAATGTTTGGTCTGTTTTTTAGTAGTGCAAATGCAAAGTGTCTTTCTGTAGAGCAGAAACCCTTTGATTCTTCAAGCGAAAGATGACAGATTTACAGAATTAGGAGAGAGTTTTATTAATGGCAGTGCTGTAAACACAAAGTCCTCCAAGAGGCTCGTTTAGTGTCATTGTGAAGTCAGGAGCTGTCAGGCCTTTTTGGAGAAACCATCCAGCCTGTGTTGTGGATGTTGGTAATGGGGGCTGCAAGAATTCCCTACCTGCCCTCAGTTAACACAGTGAGCTGATGAACATGCAACGAGGTAAGGGGGCGTCCTTGTCTGCTGTGGTGGCTCTATGGGAGCTGGTAGCATGCTGGTCTCTGGCTCCATGAAGACTTGGAGCCAGGCTACCCTGCTCACTGCCACCATCTCCTCACATCTTATCCATGTCATGTTGCAAAATGGAGGAGGCAAACCTTGGCCAAGGGGGCACAGGAGGCAGAGGATGCCCCTGGGATAGAAAGCTGCAGAGCACCACTAATTAAAGGCTCAGAGTGATACAAATCCAGCTGCTTTGCCACATCTTTGTATTCATCAGTTTGTGTGGAGGACTACTCTGAAGCCAGCAGGGGTCATATAACTTCTTTTTATCAGGAGAGACAGATGTAAGAACTCTTCAAAATTAATTAGCTTTTAGCACGTCCTTTTCCACTGGTCCAGCGGGCTCATGGGGTTGTACTGATGGTTATACCTGCGATAAGTTGTGATCATTTATGCCGGAGTTCTTCACCCTCCTAATCTTTATTTGTGCCGTAATTTCTTTCTTTCACAGGCAGAATAATTTGTTTGACCATCCTATGCATTCTTTATTCTTTGCTCCTTTTTCCTTTAGGCGTTTTATCCCTTCTACGCCCACCATAGGCTGCTTCTAGGACTGTAATTACCACCGATACGTGTGCTGCCTTCTGCTAATAACTAGCCCAGTCTCAGTGGTTCATTTTAAGTCCCAAAAATCATAAGGGTAAACCTGTGATCTTTCTTTCTGTGCATCTCAAACTGGATGCATGCAGATCCTCAAATTGGGATTCTGGACATACAGCCTTGACCTTTGGCATACAAAGACTCTGTCTGCTTTCAACACTTCCTCTTCATTACGTCCTTTAAAACTCCAGTACCAGGTTTTGTTCAGTTTTTACATGGCGTTGCTGAACCTATCTGCCTCTCGAGTTTCAAAGGAATTTTTGCAGAATTGCTCAAGGCAGCAAAAATGAGGAACAACCAGACGCAAGTTAAAGAAGGGACTCCTGCTGCTTGACAAGACTTGCATGTCTCGGTGCTTTGAATTTAGGCCTTCTCTGAGGAAAACGGCAATAAAAGCCTCGTTTGCTGATGAGCGAGTTCTTCCCGATGTCTGCTGTTTACATACAGCAGTCAAGCTCAATAATGAAGAAATCTGGCTTCTGCTCCAAGGCAGCGCGTGAACGGGGTGTGCTCCCAAGGCGGAAACCTCCCTGACCCTACAGCACAGGAGAATGTGTCCGCACAATCAGGATGCAAGCGTCAGCTAATTGAGGAGTGCTAGTACACCGGGAAGGCAGGCGGGCGCACAGAGAGCATGGCTTGATGCGAGGCGTGCTCTTCCAGTGTTGGCCAACTCCAGTCGAAGGAGAAGGCACACACAGAGCGACTGCTTGTGCTCTCACGGATTGCAGCTGTTACCAGCTCCCATCCAAGCTTTGGTATTGCATCAATCATGGCAAAGCAGGGTTTGCATGTGGCTGCATGCACAGTTCAGCTATGCAAAGCCTCTGGCAAGGACCTGGGTGATGCTCTGGCTGTTTGGCCTCCTGAGCTGGGGCAAAGGGAGGCAGGCACAGGCTTTTTGGGAGCGCCCAGCTCACCTAAGTGTTTTTAGAAGTAATTTCTGTGGTACCAGCTACAAGCACAGTTGTCTAAAAGACAAACTTTCAACAGGATGTCTTTCCAAGCACTGGTAAATATTATTGTAATGGGTTGAATTTATATAACTAATATGTTATCAGTCCCTGTTGTTTGAGGAGTTTGCTTTTTGAGTGGCTTAAAAAACATTGCTCTTAAATGCCTGCGCTCCTCTGATTATTTTTCAGTCTTGTGTCATACAAATTCCTCTACCCTTGTAGGCAAAACAGCTCTGGTCCCCTCTGCTGAAACCTGTTTTTATAATCGGCACGGCAGCTGTGTTGTTTTAGCTGGTTTATGCAGAGGCAAGGTCTGGAGGGGACACAGCAAAAAGCTCTGGCAAGCGCTGGCCCAACAAGCGTGTGGTGACTGCGGGTGGGACTGAATCGCTCGCCACTGATGTTCAGTGGTGGGTCAGGGCTTTGGGGCTCTGCCTCCCCCCTACCCCACACTGCTCAGAGCCTGCGCCAGGCTTGCGGTGGCATTTACAGGGAGTCCTGAACTGCTCTTGCTGTCTCAGATAACCCTGCATACAGATAGCATCTTCCCCAAGCAGAGGAAACGAGGGCAGAGACATGCAAGGGAAATTAAGGCAAATGTAGGTAGGAAGGCAACAGGCTAAAGCTGAAATGCATTAAGTCACCATGTGGTGTTCCAGTTCAGATGCAGAAATGCCTTGGGTCCGTATCTTTCTTCTCTTTATTTCTGCAAGAGCTTAGATGGATAAACAAGAGGTAATGTCTCCTCTTAAGCCAGTGTTGTGGTCCAACTAAACAACAATACTCCTTCCTCTGGGTCTTACAGGTGTCCTGGCTTATCTTGGTTGGGAGACAAGCTTTGGCTTCCCCCGGGCACTTGGGAAGCTCTCAGTGCCTGTGGGCTTGACTGGACGGATGCTCTTTCTTCCCGTTTTCAGTCAAACCCACCCCAGAGTAAGGATGGCCGTTCCCTGGAGCAAAGGAGTTTAAGGACAGTGGTTATTCCTTCAGAAAACCTTGCAGATTAAATATTATTCCTCGGATGACTGGCCTTTGGCCAGAATGCCTGGCAATTTCCCCATCATGCTTCTTTATGTGGAAAGGTCTCTCAGTGACAGTGGTACTTTGATAAGAATAATTGGTAGAAAATATCAGTTTCACTGTGGATTTGTTTCCGGCCTTTCCTATGGCCAGTGATCCAGGATGACCTTGAGTTCTGCTATATTTAAACAAGTTTAGCAGCTTTTTATTTAAAAGATCTCAAATGATGACTTCCAATTTATTAGGCTTAATGTTTGGATTTGGAAGCTGTCTACAGAGGTGCAAAGACAGCCCTTGGTAGAAAGGTCCAACTGCAGAGCCACAGCAAAACCTCCCTGCTCCTGCAGCCCAGTTTGGAGAGGAACAAAACTCCCGCATTTCCCCAGTAGCAAACCAGTTGCATTTTCATTAAATAAACGATAGAAATACTCCTGCTCCCCTCGTGGCATTTCAGCACAGAGCTTTCTGGTGCTAGAGAAGAGCATGTGATGAAGCAAGGAAAAACACTTTGGGAAAGTTTTATTTTAAAAGTAGATGTGCTCTAAGAAAGTTTTGATTTTATATATATATATATATTTA